GGCGTCGCCCGTCAGCAGCGTTGTCCGAGGGGAAGGTCCCATGGAAGAGGACGAGGACGGGAGGGAGGACGGGAGGGAGGACGGGAGGGAGGAAGGCTTTGCGTGGAAGAAGGAGGCGCGGACTAAGTACCGGATGGAGGCCAACACCAGCCGCCTTTCCCTGTTCACTTCCAGCCCCAACAGCCGTCTCAACAAGGTCGGCTCTCGCCCTGGGCCCCCTGCCTTTCTGTTCTCGCACTCCCCACCTCCCTTCCTTTGCCCCTCCAGGTGCATCTTCCGCCGCCCCTCCTTCCTCCTCCCTTCATCGGCCCCACCGCCCCCCTCTCGCGCCTCCTGGTTCTGCGCCCGTCTCTCCCCCACCCACTGCTCCAGTTCCGCCTTCAAGGCCGGGTCGTGGACAAACTGACACGCCTCCCCGTGGTGACAGGAACCCCTTGGCTTCGAATAAAACCGACAATACAAGCCTCCCGAGCCCTTCCGGGGCCCGTGCCGGTAGCGGCAACGCGTCGCGTTCAAGGGACATTGGCTCCGCAGGTAGGCACGACAAACACCGTGGAGGACAGAAATCCGGGCACCGGCCTCCCCTTCTTCCCCGACAACGCCGGGAGACGCCGTTGACGCGTTTGGACCAAGTCCTTCGGCCCCTTCCTCGCCCTCGCCTCTGCCCTCGTCCTCCTCCTCGCTAGCGTACACACCACCCACCAGGCCACCCATCTGTCCCGCTCCCTCCCCGATCGCCAGCTTTTTCTCCTCCCCCCCCCCTTCTGCCCCCTCGACCACGTCTCGCCATCTCTTCCTTCCATTTCCCCCCCGCCCGAGCCTCGCTCGCGCCTCCTCCACCCGCCTCGCCACCGCTTGCGCCGTCGGGTAATGCTTCCTCCGCTCTTCCCGCCATTGCTCTACTTCCTCCGGCGCATTCCCCACCAGAATCCGGTACCGTCGACCTTCCACATTCATCACTCGAAAGCCCGTGCCCTTATATTTGCCATGGACCAGCCGGTAGTGCCCTCCCACCACCTGTCGGGACCCTTGGAAGTGACAGTTTGGGTGCTGGCAGGTCTCGTGCGCGTCCACATGGGCTTGGTATTGCGCCTGGCTTTCAAAGGACTTGTCGCAAGCCTGGCACCGATGCATTTCACCTTCCACGTTTGTGCCTCCCACTGAAGAGGCTGCCTCGGTGCTCTCCTTTCCCGTGGGCCCCGAGCACGGTCCAGGACAGGCAGGGACGGAGGCATGCGTGCTGTCAGTCGAAAAGGGGTTGGAGATGTCTCCACGGCTTCCGCCACCCGTCCTCTCCAAGATCTGCTCTCCATATGGCCACCTGCTCCTTTCCTTTCCATCCCTTCCCCCCGCACCGCGGCCCATCCCTCGATGTCCTCTTCCTCCCCTGCCTCTTCCTGCTCTTGTGGGTCGGTCGTGCCGGGCTTCTGACCCCTGCTGGGCAGATGAAGCCATGACCATAGAATGATGCTGCACATCTTGAGCCAGACTCTCTGGGCGCCGAGGGATGCTGGAGGAGTAAAGCGAAAGTCTAGGGGCATGCGGCTGCTGTTGCTGTTCTTGCGGCCGGACCCCCGCGACGACCGGACACTTTGTAACCCAGTGCACGCCTCGCTGTCCACATGAATGACAGATGTATGTCTCAGGAGGCGGAGGACCGGTGGAACTGCTCATATTCCCATGAAATGGAGGATGAATGTGTGCTGCGTACGGATTGGACGGGGGACATTGGGCTGGTTGATAGCTCCCATAAATGCTAGAGGGAAACGAGGCATTATGCGGTGGCGCTCCATGGTAGGGGTATTGATATTGCTGCGGATATTGTTGCTGAGCTTGAGGCGCAGATATTTGCGTAAAGGTGTGCTGATACATGGCTGTCTTTCAGAATAATATGATGCAGATAGCCTCCCGTTGGTAAGATACTATCTCTGGTACATTGAACGGCCTACCCGTGGACAACGAAACACACAAATTGTACAAGGAAAAGAGCATCTGTACGGACGTATTACACACCTACACAGACAAGTTAAGGGTGAATTTCTGTGGCTTGTCAAGGCATTCAATTCGGCGGTCTTGAAGGTTTTATGGCCCTGTTTGTCGCGGGCGGCGATCACGGTGTGCTATGGTACAGCGGCATTTTGAAGGACAGTTTCCTCTTCCCCACCATGAGAATTTATTCAAATATTTGCGAATACACATATGTGGGGATGAAATTCTCTACAGGGACATCCCATGGGCGCTGGCTGGAGCAGCAGTTACGCTTGAGGCATTAAACCACTACGATTCAGACAAGACAATGCCTTCCCAAGTTGGTGATTTGTTTCCAAATGTTGACCTCTGGGTTTTGGAGCCTGCACACTCCGACAATAAACCTCGTCAACCAGTTTCTGTTCGCTCCTGGCAACTTGTTAAAGGCAAACGGCGCGTAATTTTCGTGGGCATTCCAGGACCGGTAAGTCGATCGCGAAGTCTGTGGAAGGCCCACTCCATTACCATCGCGTCGAAATCGAGCGTGCTGCAATCAATTAACCAATAAATGATCCAACAGTTCACGCCTGGGTGCTCAAAAAGCCACGTCCCCGGTTTCATCGAGACAGCCCTCCGCTTGCAAGCCAAGGGCATAGATGACATATACGTGATCAGCACCGCGGACGGTACGAACGGAAAGAAATGAATGTGTCTGGTACGCGTCGAACCTAAGTCTTCCATCATTATTAATGCCAGCTTCCTTTCATCTCTGCCATGCCAGCATTTGTCATGGACGCCTTTGCCAGAACCTTGGGGACTGACAAGCAAAGGCAACCTCTCGCGATTACATTTTTGGCGGATGGGAACCATGCTCTTACGAAAGCATTGGATATGGAGCTGGATGGATCAGCGCGCGGGATGGGCATGCGAATGCAACGTTTCGCTATGGTAGTGAACGGCGATGGTGTCATTGAGGACTTGCTGGTGGATCCCTCGGGCCATATTAAATTTTCACGGGCGGAAAATGTTTTGAGTCGTCTGTGAATGAACTGAGAGAAACATTCGACATGGGAAATAAGCACGCTTCGTTCTGAAGTGTGGCTTCTGCGCTTTGATCATATTAACGAGTACTGGTTGATTTTACTTTGGTACTGGAACAGAAGGCTCTTTCGAAAGGCTTGTGCAATATCAATTAAACACGCATAATAAGCAACGTGAATGTTAAGGAAGCTATGTCAAACTTGGAAGCAGGTGGCAACCTGCATATGATGGATTTCTTGTCGCGTTTTCTGACTCTTCGTTCTGCGCGAAAGTGCAAACGCGTAGTCTACAAATCAAAAATGCCGGCAGCGTACATCCCTTAATGAGTCAATTTACGAATCAATAGGTAAAAGGGGATCCTCAAACATACACCACACCTTGCCCTGTCGTGGCAGCGCAGCAAGTAATTTTCAGCGTGGGTTTATGGGGTGGGGAGGTTGTCGACTTCGTGTGCGGTGAACTGTTGTGGCGGACGTACCGAATCATTGCATACAAATTACGTCGATACCTAGATTTCATGTGGGATGAAAAAATTGTGGAGTGAAAAACACTTAGAAACGAAAATTCAATGAATATGTTTTGCAATCAAAGTGCTTTCCGGGCTTGTAGTTACTGAACGAAGTATCGCCAAGTCTTGCTGCGCTTCCTCCGTCTCGTTTCACATGCCTAGAAAGAAAAGTGACCACATACTAAACATTCTTCTTGACTCATCAGAAACATGCTCACAGATGAGCAGCGGGCCAGAATAGAAGAAAATCGGAAGCGGGCATTGGCTTTGCGCGCACGAAAGGAAAAGGAAAGACTCCAGCAGCACGCCGAGCTTCTACGGGAACAGCAACTGCAGCTCACCGCGGCCGATACCAATACGCCCGAAAGCAGTAGTCAGGCCCTTCAAAACCTGCTAGCTCAGGGAGGATTTACAAGAGAAGGCCCGGAGGACGAGGGAGACTCCACAGACAGTGTCCCGACGGCGGCACCTAGTGCCCCCGTGCCGAAAGCAACACAAGTGGAAGGGAAGGGGCCGTCCTGTGAAGTATGTGGAAGCGGGCTGGTGGACCCAATGTACCACGATGTGTTCCGTATTACTGTCTGTACTCCATGCAAGAACAATAACGAGGAGGAGTACGGGCTGGTGACGAAGGGAGATGCGGTCGCCGAGTTTCTGCTGCAGGAAGGCACCATGCGCGTAATGCCTTATCTCGAACGCAACAACCCTCGAAACACGAAATACCAAAAGATGAAACTATACTGTCGAAGGCTTCTACGGGCCAAGGCGTACGAGCGCTGGGATGGCCCGGAGGGATTGGCGGAAGAAAGAAATCGCCGCAGGGAGCGGCGCTACGAGAGTGCGATCGATAAGACCTTGAACGTCTTCGCGAAAACTACTAAGAAAGCAAAAATTTGGTCTCAAAAATAGAGGCTCCAGAAGTAGTTCGCCCGACACTTTGTGACTAGTGCACTGAACTTTTCGAGAACTTCGGGGCGCAAGGCCTTTCCCACGTCCACCTTCGACCAAGGTATTTCCAACTTAACCAAAATCATGGGGCAGGAGACTCCTGTACTCCTGGCCCATGAGTCTCCTGCCCCACGTTCTGGTTAGGTTGGAGATACCTTGCGCTCCGAAGTTCTCGAAGTGCAGTAATCCATCTGTCCAACGTTGTTAGGTCGAGGTTCTTGTTGTGTCGGGCGATTGATTCGACGACACAATTCCACGACACGTCTCACCATGTGATTTAGTCGGTAAGTCGGTCAAAGAAAAAAAATGGCTGGTCCCGAAAGAAGACGTAATCAAATCCAGATACTCCAGTCGGGTATCAAATATCTCGCTCGGTTATTAGCTCTTGCCTACCCGCGTCACAGGTCTCCGTGCTCAATTCCGTCCGTACTCTCAGTCCTCCCTTCGAAGCCATGACGGCCCATACCTCGGTCGGCTGGCGCCTGCAATTGCGCGGCCGCGAGGGAGGCACTCACAGGGGCGAGAGGAAGAGGATCAGCCGACGCCGTAACCAGCTTCAATTCATCAGTGCCGAACACTTTCTCGAGCCACGTCTGAACAATTGCACACAAGGATGCCTCCCTCCCAAAGAAGAAGTGGTCAGCCCCCTCCATGGTCACCACTTCGGTGGGGGGGGGAAGCTCGCGCGTCCTTCGAGCAAAGGCACCGATCCTCGTGAATTGATCTGGCTCCCCATGACAAACAGTTTGTGCTTGTTTCCCCGTGCTGCCGAATCCAGGAATCCCCGATGATTGAACAGTGTCAGAGCGAAAGCGACACTGAAGGGATAAGCAATTGCAGCGTAGGCGTGCACTTCGGGCATTTCCCCCCCTAGGGCCGCGCCTACCACGCTGCCATGACTGTACCCCACGATCAAAAGTTTTTGTGGCGGGTCTTGAAGCGCGGTCAAGGCATACTCGCAGACGGCACGCATATCCGCTTTCTCTCCTGCCCCCGTCCAAGACGTGCGACCCGTGGACGGGAGGACGCCCCGAAAGTTGAACCGCAGGGTCGTAAACCCGAAACGAGACAGGTGCTGCGTTAGAGCCCACACGACGTTGTTTCCCAAATGGCCTCCTAACGGTCCGTAGGGGTGAGATATGACGACCGCGTAAGGGCTTCGTTTGTTACTAACTTTGCAGGCAATATGCACACCGTCCCTTGACGGGACGCGGACATCCATCTCTCGAAGCGTTGTAGCTGACCTGGATGCGGTTGAGGGCATGGTGGAAAGCTTCTCAGGTCCAAACGAATGAGTAGTGGCGGTCGTTTGCTTTAATTGGTCTTCAAAGTTGTCACCCAAGGCTCGGACTAACGGTGCATTCGTAAGAGGATGCCAGCCTCGAACCCGACCGTGTTGGCAGGCGCACGGATAATTGTGCCCGCGAGAGGTTTCAATTGCACTGAAGAAAGAAAGTGGCGACCATGACCATAGGGGAGCAACTGCGAGGGCGGGCGAGGGAGCAAAACTGGTCACTGTACAGGAGGAGGTTCCTTGCCGGTTAAGAAGCAGGGATGGACGAGGAGTGTCCTGGCTTCTCGTGCTACAAATTTGCTTTCGACTTGTTAGGGGTGCCGACAAAATTGCCAGGCAGAGGATGAAATGCTGAGAAGCCCCCAGTTTTCTCTGTGGCATGGGCGCAAGCGTAACAGATTCATGTTAGCCTCCGCAATGTCGGGATATCGCCAGCACGGATGAGACTCGCCCAAGAAAACATCGTTTCAAAATAAAAGCCCCCCCACGACCCTCGAAAGGCCACGCTTAATGTTTGCTGCCATCCACGTGGATTTGGCAAATTTTACTCGTTTATGGTATTGCGCGTGGTGAACTAGAGGTAGATATTTCTCGGGCGTGGTTTTCCCCACAACTGAAACCCGATAATGGCTGATTTGAGCGACATGCTGATTCAAACCAATCCCGATACAGCGACTCCCGAAAACCACCATGCTTCGCCGCCTTTTCTTCCTGACTCTCTCGGCCGTGGTGGTCTTGACGGCCTCTGCTAAACAGGGGGATGGCGTGGACCTCGACCCGAACGAGAAATTGGTAAGGGGAGACGCGGAAGGAGGGTCTTGTTCAAAGGTGTGAGGGGCCTCACAGTGATATTCTTCCAACAGCGCGTAGGTGTCAAATTCCGCCCGGACTCTTGCGACATTAAGTCTAAGAAGGGTGACATGTTGTCAATGCATTACACGGGGACCCTGTACAAGGATGGGAGCAAGTTTGATTCAAGCTTGGACCGCAACCAACCTTTCGAATTCACGCTGGGGCAGGGCCAGGTGCGTCTTCCTCTTTGACATGCCTCCTTTCGCGGCTTTCCGTTGACACGAAGACCTTTTCTCACGCGCTCCATACTGTGCTTGGACAGGTTATCAAGGGTTGGGACAATGGCCTCTTGAACATGTGTAAGTGAATAGGGGGGCTTGGTTTATCAAGGAACATATTCTCGGTGCCCGTTTCTGTCGACTTCATCCCCTCTGGCACCCCCATTCGTCTCTGGGCCTACTCAACGCCGCCCGCCCGGCGTTATCCCTCCATGATTTGACAGGCGTGGGCGAGAAACGTCGTTTGACGATCCCGTCGTCTCTTGGGTACGGAGACCGTGGCGCGGTGAGTCATCTCGTTGCCCTGATCCCATGCTCGGTCAACGTCGGCTATACGTCACGTTCACCACCGTAATGTTTGCCATTTGTTGCGCAAACGGCTGTCTTTTTGTACACAGTTCCTTTATTGCATTATTTGAAGCACTTTCGTCCCCCCCTCAGACGGCTAACATTGTCACGGCACCATGCTTCCCCAATCATTCGCAGGGTGCCAAGATCCCCGGCGGTGCCACCTTGGTCTTCGAAGTGGAGCTTCTGGGCATCAACAACTCGGACAAGGGCAAAGAGTTCTAAACGCGCACGGCCATCCAGACTATGAGGTAGGGTCCGATAGACCAGAGTCCGGTGTAGGAATCTATGCGGGGATACTCAAGAGAAAATTGTCAGCCGAAGATGAGTAGGGGAATAGAAAGAAGGGGTACCTGCAAAGGATTCGGATGGTCTCGAGGCACAAGTGCTTTCGCCCCGTCGAAGGACTTCAGCAGGCAGCGAGATGAAGGGGTAACAGTTACAGAAAAAAAATCATGACCAAGACCGAACCGGCGCGAACGATGGGCTCCAGGCTATAAAACATAACATTTTCTTTCATGTTTCCGGCTGAATGTTTCAGGTCTCACCGCAGTCGCGCTTTGTCACCCCGGTGCGGGAACCACCCTTCCAGTGAACAAAATTTCGCATCAGTTTTTCAAGTATCCGAACTGATCGACAGGGGACCTCGACAAAACTCAGTAACCAAGCACAACACGGAGACGCTGCACTCTTGTCGTTTGCACTGAGATCGTTCTGGTTCCGGTTACTCTTCTTGGCCCTGTCCCCTCCCACAATTGCGGGGCAGGGGTGCGGTCAGCATGGCTATGTGCGTCAGCGTCCTACCGGTCCGCTTCCTTGGCACAAACACACCGAGACACCACCACAAATGGTAATATACATCTTGGATACCTTCACATTCTTCTCCCTTGTTTCGCATGTCTTGAGTAGCCTCTGTTCTCCCTTCACCCAACGTCGAGGACATGCTGGACAGGCTTCCCAGGACTTCGCTATCTCCTTATCCCTTCCGAGCAACTTGCCGCGTCACTCCTCTCATTCCATCTTCTCGTCCACCATATTCGCGTCCGCTCCACCTCTTCTTCCCACTAACATCTCTGCTCGAAACTCCGAAGAGCCTTGCTTCCAACAGTTCGGCATCACGCCGGTCACATCGTACACTGCTTTCTCCAAAAACCGGAAGAACCCACTTTCATCCAACATACGATTGCAAGTACCCGTCAAGATGCAATAGTTGCTTTCAAATGGGCTGGAGTGATGTTGTCCGTGCTCTTTCCTGGAAATAATCAGGCCCAGGTCTTGAAGCCTCACCGCCCAAGCGGGAGGCTTGGACAAGTGGGATAACTTGTGGAATTCCTGGCTGAGTACCTGCAGATTGAAGAACAGAGTTGCAAACAACGTGACGAGAGGAGAAGACGGGTGAAGGGCTACAACGGCTAGCATGGCGGGGATGGTGATTTTGGTAATCTTGTGCACGTTATTGCTGAATTGCCGGTACGTGATCGTCCACGGCGCGTCGTGGTGCCCTTGAAAGGCCTCGATCACTGTGCCCAACACCGGCGTCTTTCCGTTCCCATAGTTATCCACCGACCAATGGAAAATTCCGCTGAAAAAATCGGAGAAGAGGACGGAGAAAGCCGTCGTCGCGGCCAACATTGTCAGGTCCCCGGGCGTCACCCCCCCGTTACCCGCATACGTAGACGCCACCTGTTGCATAGCTGCCAGCGTGACGAGATAATGTGTGGCCACGTACGAGCGATGGATCCAAGAACTTTCCAGGACGTCACCGTCTGCTACCATGACAGGTGGCGGTGGACCTCTCCGCTTTGACTTCTTCTCAACGATACGGTCGTTCCTCAAGGAGATTGGAAGGTTTGTTTCTGTAGATACACAGCTTGCGTCGTCAACTGGATCGGACGGGTACAAGCCATTGGTTACTATGCTATTACTACTGATACCAGGTGTGTCAGACGGCAGTGTTGTGGATTGTAACACGTCGACATATCGCAGAAACCTGGTGGAGCTCCAAGGATCGTGCGAGATGCGTCGAGACGATGGGGCTGGGATAACGAAGCCGTGCACAGCTACTGCGCCAATGGCTAGAGTCGCAATAGTGACAATCGGGTAGGGCTTCATATTACTCCCTGTACAGTGTGTAGAACATAAAGTAAGAGTCACATACGGTGAAGTGGTGGAGGAGAGGACGGCAACGCATTCGAAGATCTGGTATGAAGCCAAGTAAACAAAAACGATGGACGACCAAAAATGGCTGACAGCAGTAGTCAACCAAAAAGCATGTGTCTGTCAGAATACAGTGATTGCCAGCTTTTGTCGCTCAACAACCTTCGGCTTTCCTCCGTCATACCCCTAATGGAACAAAAACCTGAGTCACGCAATGCTGACATACCCTGGATCTGGCGTCCGCGAACGTCAGCTGTCGCCCTATGCCGACCTCAAAATCCGAACTTTCGCATACATGTATGTGTGCAGCACATGTATACATGGACAATTAATGTTATTGTCGTCCTCCTTCCACCCAAATTGGAAGAGAGCGGTTAACAAGATTTCAAAGAAAAATAAGATGACGAAGTTGCAGACTTTCCCTTCGATATTATTTTAAACGGTGATCGTATTTGTTCCGATACTCTATCAGATTAAATCAGCAGGTGAGAGAGAATTACGCTGCACCAGCGTAAAACACGAGTACGCGTAAGATATTAAAAACGCATTGATACGCGTGAAAATACTTCATCCAGTCCGAGAGACGTAAAAATGCCCCCAAAGTCTCGAGTGTCCAAATGGTTACTGGGCCGCGCGGGGGAAGAGTGCTCATCGGGAGATGTCCATCGTTGCCACCCATCATGGGATCTCTGTCTGGAGATCGTGGCAAAAGCGTGGGTATGGCAGGGCAAGCAAGGAAAAAATTGTAACAGATTCCTTCAAGGTATTTCTTTCGAGGAAACTGAATTCAGTTATTTCTTAAATTCACACACTCCATTTGTCAAAGTTGGTCAGGTAACCGAAGTCAAATCACCAGCGTCCGCAACCATCATGCTTCAATTATGCCATAAATAAAAATCAAGCGAATAGAAAGCTGATACACATCGAGCCATCCTTGTCTTATCTGTGCCAAGGCTTCAAGGACCTGATGCAAGTATCAGCGACTCTCTCGGGAGAAGATCCTAGAACGCAGTACCGCGTATCGTGTTCCGTCAAGTGACACAAAACTGTCCTTGATATAAAGGGCTTTAATGACATGTGCTTACCATACAGAGATTAAGTTTTAGAGCATCACAAAGCGATCGTGATTGTTCAATGGACGGGTGAAGAGCGACAAACCGTCAGTTGTGCCTACATGGGCAAAAATATTATTATTTTATGTATCGTGTACACTTTTTTCTTTTTCAATGGCGATTAAGTGCATGCCATATTGAGTGTGTTTCGTTGAGGATTATATGCAGGAGATGAATATCTTTTACAAGATTAATGACCTTCGCTGTACGTAGAAAATGCAAGTGGGTGTTTGTACGCGCAGTATTCTGTCCGTTGGTGGAAAATTTCAGCCTGGCTGTAAATTTCTCGGCCGAGAATTCCGACACCGTGATTGATGGAGCTTCCCCGAAGACTCAATTTCGATTTGTCTTTGCCTATAAAATCAACAATAGCGACCTGCACCGTGCATCTATAAATGCAGTTTAAACCCTCAGTAGGAACTAAGAAATTGTGTAGAGCGGTATGTATGTTAACTAAAGCGTTGACTCTTTATCAAGGACTTTTCGTCACATCGGAACGCTCTTCTGTGTCTGGCATCCACATGCGCGAGTCCTCCTTGTCTGAAGCCTCTTGAAGCAGGGCACATCAGGGGCGACACGTGGCACGATCCGTCGTATCACGGACCCGGTCCTGCGCTTTGGACTCCGATCCACCCAGGCGGTATAGATGCTAGAAGTACACTACAACACGTCTTTCACTACCGTTTCTTCTCAGAACACATATGGTTACCATTCCCCATTCAAATACATTGGCAGGCCTTTTTCCTAGACGGAACTGAAGTATGTACATGGCTGCCCGACGCACTTGCCTCTCACGCAACGTCCTCACATATTCAACCCGACGTTATCAGGACAAGTCATTAGTGGGGTGGTCAGTAAGCCGCCCCCCCCCGTCCTAGGCCAATAGACTGGCTGCCACCATGCTATCCTTCGCCTCCCCCTTTTCCTCCTTCTTTTTCTCAAGGCAAAATTTCCCGATCCTCACTTTCTTTCGGATCGGTCCTAACTTTTCATCCTCGATATCCGCGTACCTCTCTACAAAGCCCTCCACACGGTTGAGACCGTCGCAAAACGTCCCAGAGTAGTAATGAATGTGGGGGATCTGGTCGTTGGCGATCAACTTCTTGTCCGGGGGGGGATGCACGATTTTGAACTCCAAGCGGCCCGTGGCGTACATGTCTTTGAAGTTCAGGGTCCAGTCCAAGCCCCGCACCGCGCTGTCCACCGGTTGATCCAGGCGACCTTTAGGTTTCAGCAAGACCTCGAATGTGGAAGATGAACCATCGGGTATACCCAAGGCGCCCGCGTGGCGTACGGGTTTCATACCCCACAGGGGTTGAATCACACGCTTCTCCTCCAGAGTCCACGAGCCAAAAAGCAAGGGTAAGGCCGTCTCCACCGCCGCATCGTGCCCAACTGTTTGCATCGCATGGCGCATGAGGTCGTGTGTAGGATCCCATGGACTTCTTCTTCTCGTCTGGCACTGTCGCGCTGAAGGTGAAGCGAAGGAATGTCTTACGGAGGGCGACGACGCGGGGGGGGTTGATATGTACAGCGGCGTAAAAGCACGAGTCACGTCGGGAACAAGCGTACAGAGCCCCATCAGCACCGGAAGAAACAGAAGAGAAGGATGCCGGAATAGGATTTGAGCCGACACCAATCGTTGCGGCGCATACATGGACTGCTGCTTATGATGTGCTTTCGTCTCGATGCACGCAGAGAGGAGAGTGCAGCGGCCCCGCAAACCTAATTTACGCGGAAGGGTAAAAAATATGTGCCGGTGAGCATTGCTATAAAAATGGTGTGTTCGCGTGAGAGGAAAGACACAGTAAAAGACGACTATGGGCACAATGACGAGTCCGGATGAAAACCAGCTCACAGCGATGGCGTAATATTTTGCATGGGAGCTTCGAAAATTCCCGCCACAGGGCAACCGAGTTTTTAATACCATGCCTGCGTGCTTCCCGGAATCGCGACCAGGCTCATGAGCATGTTGAATGAATGGGCATGTCACAATTTGATTGACGGCGTGGTGCTGTCACGACGTATACACGCTCTTCTGTTTTGTTGGACTTGCATTAAGCGGGCATCCCCGTGGTTCATTCGACGGGGGAAAGGACAAGAAAAGACGGGGAACAATGAAATAAATAAATCCTTGCGCTGCGTCGTCAACAAGTCCAAAGATTCCACAAAGATGCTGTCCATGGGTAGCTTAAAAGGAAAAATTGACGGTGCTTGCGCAACAGTCGAGTTTTGTCACCACTGATTACGAGAAACTGAAGTACGAAGGTACAATGTTGATACGTTCCATCACTTTTTCCTTACGTGCGCCCTTATCGTCCAGTATTTGTTTATGCTCTGTACATGACCGCTTTTACGGCTCCGCGTCTTTGTAAGTCAGGTGCTGGGCATGACAGACGCCGGAGCGTGTGAGGAGGAAGAAAAAGAAGAGGAGGACGTGGAGGAAGAAGAGGTGCTCTCGTTAGCATTTTCAACGCTCGAGGCTCTGTTTGCATGCCGGCTGGTATGAGGCACAGACCCTTCCATACCCAGCATCCCCATCTCTCCTGTTTCCGACGAATCCCTTCGCGTCCCCCCCGCCGCATCTGCCAAGGAGATCGATTCCATCAGGGCGTACGGCACGTCTTCCCCTCCCCTTGCCCTGCGGTCCTGCTCCCCCGCCCTCCCTTCCCCGACTTCATGTCCATCAAATCCTTGCACAACCTTTCTTTCTGCCCGTGAAAACCTTCTCTGGATTCTCCTGGCCATGATGATGGTGTGCCCCCCCCCCGCCACCACTTTTTCGACGCGAAGGTGCGACAACGTTGAAACCACGGCCGGCAGACAGGCGTTGAAATCGCTGTCAAAGGAGCAGGTGGCCCCATACTTGGTGACTGGGGGACACGGCTCCACGTATGGGAGCTTGGAAGCACGCTCGAGCCCGAGCCAGCCGCCGTCGCCATAGCCCCACGTGTAAAGGCGACTACGGTGCGAGGGAGGAAAAGGAAGGGGGAGGAGACACGGGATGAGGGGCCATGCGGGAAGGTTTACACGATTCCTCCCGAGCCAAGGCGGGAAAGAGCAGGGCTCATCCGGGGAGAGATACGACGGCTGGCCTCCACGCCCTCTCTGGGCCGCCGGGTCCCCTTTTTCCCCCCGGCGTCTGCCCGAGACCCGAACCCCCTTTCCCGCCCCCACGTACACCAGAACGCCCCGCCACCCACCCCTCCCCTTTCCGCCCACGCACCCTGCTTCCGTGACCACCATCGACCACCAGGCGCCACAGGCAATCTGAGCGATCCGGCTCCCCTCCAAGCCTTCCACGGGACGCGGGGTCCGCAAATGCAAGGTCGCCCCTAGGCCCCCTTGTCCCTCCGAGCCGTACCCCCAGGCGTAGGCCCGCCCGTCCACGCCCAAGCCGAGCACGTGGAAATCCCCGCAGGCCAGGGCCGCCAGCGGGCAGCACCGGAAGGCGGGGACCTCCGTGGGTAGGCCCACGATTTTCTTGGGGTCGGGCAGACCCAAACGGCCAAAAGAGGACGCGCCCCAGCTGAAGACCTGGCCCTTATCCGTCAGGACCGAGGTGTGATGGCGCCCGCACACGAGTTGACGGATCTGGGAGGAGCCTGGGAGCGGGAAAGAAAGTGGGGAAAAGCAACGGGAATGCGTTGGGGCCGCCCACTTCGTCCTCCATTACCAACGTCCCTTCCGCCACACTCACACACCCCAGGGGGAAGAGATCCTTACCCGCCCACCGCCTGACCTTCCCCCTTAGCCTTCCCCACACACATATGTGTATATGTTGCAATTGTTTGATCCAGGACCCATCCCACGTCCTCACCTATCCCACTCATATTTACGGGCCGCGGGGTGGAGATCTTGTTGCACGCCTGGCCTTGTCCCACCTGGCCGTAGCGATTGAAGCCGAAGCAGAAGACGGACTGCCCGGCCGTGTGCACTGCCGAGTGCTGGCCCCCGCAGGCCACCGCCACCACGCGGTCTCCTCCCAGTCGGGGGGGGTCCAGATGGTGGATGAGCCGAGGCCTGTCGCTGGACAGATTGTCCCCTTGCCCGAGCTGCCCAAAGTACCCCACGCCTGTCGCAGACAGTAATCAGGAGGGTGTGAGAGTTGCACGGCTGAGTTTTCAACGCCTTTGAGGGAGGACACACGCCACGCCGTTCTCTCTGACGATGAGTCAACACCTCCCTCCTCCCTTCCCCCTGGAGATCTCCTCCCTGCCTCTCACCCCAACTCGTCACGAATCCCCCCTCCATCAGCGCCAGCGCATGCTTCCGCCCGCAGCTCACTTGCAGACATCTCAGCGGCACGCCTAATGAGACCCGCGAGGGCTCGGGATAGGCCCGTCCTGTCAGCAAGAGGGAGGGAAAGGGCTCAGACCTGGTCCTTGTCACATCGCTTGTCGTTCATAAAACCACTACTTTCTTTCTTCATGGTCCCCCCGGTACCCGCGCACCATTTACTGTTCCCCACTGGTAAGGCACTCCTCTCGACGTTAAGGCAATTGTAAATGTTGCCCCGCATGCGATGTCTTGCACGAGCCCGTCCTCCTCGGCCACGTAACGCTCCAGGGCTAGGGGCTGAGGCAGGTGCAGGACGCTTTTTTTCTCTTGAGACGAGAAGTGGATGTTTTGCCCTTGTATGATTGCGCCACTACCGTCATCGCTTGCTTGTGCGGCCGCGCCAGCGCTCTGGGATGGGCACTCACTCACCAGCGGCCCCAACTGGAAAAATGAGTTGATGCCACAGCCGTAAAAGCGCAAAGGCGCCTCCTCGTCCATACCCCGCCGTATCAACGTCGAAGTTTCTACCTTACGAAGCCAGCATAGTTCCCAATGGACATGAAGACAACTTAGCGGACAGTATCGAAAAGGTTTCCTCCCGGTGGCGCATTGCGTGAGGGTGGAAGCCCACGACCTGCTGATGTTCGGTTGTTGGACAGTTATGTAACTTTTAAAAATATCCACACGTATACTTAACCTACCAGGTCTATATTGAGTGCATATGTCCTGCAAGTCCTGACGCGAATCAACGGGAACTAATGCAAAGTAAGGTCACGATGGGACGTGCGGATACCATGCCCGTTGAGCGATCTCTGAAAGCAAGACGTGCCAGCTCCTCTGATACCCTCCGTTCCCCCGGGTCAATATACGACGCACCCCTGAAGTGGGCATCCCTTATCTCGAATCCGGGCATTTTCCATCAGAAATGATGTCGTGATTGTCGGTTTATCGCTTTCCTACTCAAGCGTCGTGCAGCAGTCTCGTCCTCATAATTAGTCACCAGAGCAATAACCTCCTGCCTTCTAGCTACTAAAGCAACCTTTCCTCCCTCGTCCTTCGTTTCAAGATGCCACCATCATGCTTGTCGGGCAGGCACTAGCGAATACAGGCACAAGACATGTCGACATTTGGTACTCGTGCCGTCGGAAATGCATTTTCACTGAAATGGGTGATTCGGGGGTCGCGGGACTTATAATTATAAACATTTTTCTCCAAACGGGCTTTTTTCTCCCCGGACCGATCTTAAGCTCCACCGGGCGGCATGATGCTGTTTGCACGCCATTTGATCCGGTAGCAGCTCCGTTTTCATTGCATTTACTAGGCAGCGCTTTTAACTTTACCCCGGCGACCCCTATGGCCACGCCCGATGCCCTCTTCCACGGGAAAGGCATCGTTATTGCCGCATCTGGCGCAATAGCTCGACAGGCTGCGGGCGCTTACGTCACAGCGCTTGTTTTGAGAACGGTATTGCACGAGGACCTTCCTATCGAAATCTTTTACTCGGGGCCCGAGGAAGCCTTCCAAGGTCCTGTCCTGAAAGCATTGGAAGCATTGCCTGATGTCCGCCTACTCGACTTGGAAAGTGCCTTGAGTAACCTCCATGCCCGGGGCCTTCGGACATTGGAGCCCCTTCCTTCCCTGCAGGCACTTAGAGGGTACGCCGCCAAAGCCTACGCCATGCAAGCTTGCTCCTTCCAAGAGGCTTTGCTCTTCGATGCGGGGGCCATTCCTTTTGTTCCTGCCTCCCGCTTCTTCGGATTGCCGTCCTACCACCGACACGGCCTCGCCGTCTTTAGTGACTACGTCAGCATCGACGCTGCCCAATGGCGGTATATCCTGCAGGGTATGTGCCTGGACGTCCGGCAGGTCGCCCGGGCCCTCAACGGGAGGGAGCTCGACAGCTCCTGTGTCGTGATGGACAAGCGTCGAAACGCCGACGCCTTGGCCGTGTCCCTGGCCTTGAATGGGCCGTGCCAGGCACTCACGTACGCCACCTTGTGGGGCGACAAGGACACCTGGGCGTTGGCCATGTTTTATGTGGGCAAGACGGTGTCCGTGCGTGAATGCGAGCCAGGGTACCTGCTGAAGGCGCGCCCCTCTGGCGAGGGAGGGGGGGAGGGAGGGGGGGGAGGGAGGGGCCGAGGAAGGGGCTAGGGGGAACACGGACACCTTAAGCTCCCCATTACAGGTCGCGCGTAAGGTCAACGGCCATGTTCAATTCTTGAAGGATAAGTCCTCCCAAAGCCCCCCTGGTCTCGTCCCTCTGCACCACAACAACCAACTCCTGGATCTCCGCAACTACCACCGCCACAAAAATGGCATCTACATGGACGTCTTTTCGCATTTGGGGGATGTACTAATGCCTGGCACCCGCCGTCGGGACTGTCGGGCTTTTCCCGCACGGGACCTCCTCCCCTTGTCCCCTGTGATGCATGAAGCATACGAAGCTGTGGCCCTGGGGTTGGAAGAAAATAAAATCGACCACTGTGTGTGTCGGGACGACTGGATCTCATGCGAGGCGGACATTGCACGTCTGCGTCATAAATATTGGGTGTTGAGGCTCATCGATTGGTGGGCGCCTCGGGAAGCAGAGGGCGGTGTGAGGGAATAGAGAAAAAGTAGCATATCATGTCTTAATGACCTTCGTTTCAGCGCATGCATCAACAATGTAAGCGTTAGAAGCCATGCTGCACAAAAGTACCCGGCAGACACTCCTTTAAATCAAACGAAGGGGAGTGCTTGTACTCAGGAAGCGGCACCTTCATGTATCAAACACGCCTTTGCTTTCGTGCTTCATTAATTTCTCTCTCAATTATCCCCGTGACCGGCCCTTTCTCCGAGCGGTGTCTGCGAGACACGACGTATCGAGTGACAAAGGACCGGAAGCGCTCCGCGTGGTGCACTTTCCTTTGTACGCAACAGCACGCACCGCACTGCGAACACACCGCTTCTTCCTCTTGCATCATCCTCTTCCCCCGACCAACTCGGAAGAACCTCTGCAAGGACCCATTCGGTTCATACCTCCCCTCTGATTTGGTGGACCATCCAAGCTGCCGTGCTCCTCGAACCTTGCGCCGCAATCGTTTCGCAACATGTCGCCCCTCACCCTGAAGTTGGCACAGCCGCGGACCCGGGCACGGACCCGCTCGTGCTTGCCGGGGGTGCAGCTCCCCCTGCCGCTGCCTTCTTCTGTTTCTTGGCCGCCGATGCCTGGCATATGTGCAGTGATTGTACTGAGCGTGAGAATGGTATTGAGGCGCATGACACCGGCAATCGAGAGTCCCCGTATGGCCCCTGGCCTCGCTATCCACAATGCCGTTGCCTTTCTACCTTTTTGTCGGGTAGTGAGTTCTTGATCAGGTTCGCCAGGAAATGAAATGTCCGCGGTGCGACTTTGTCGATATTGATCTCGATCTCATCCTGGTTGCCCACCTTGGCTATTGCTTCAGGACACTGTTGCTCCAATGTTTGTACGATCTCCCCCAATTGATCCGAAGTGATCCTGTACATGTTCTCACGAAATTGTCGTTTGTCTTCAAGCGAAGGTGGCTGGTTCTCATCCTCGGGGCCATCAGGCTCCTCCGTTTTGATCTTGCTGTACTTCTCCTCAAATTTGCCCGCCAGCTTATCCGCAATCTTATACAGGTAAGAACCTTCCTGGTTATAGGTTTTGCAATTGTTCCACACCAAGCGCACATCCTCAGCGACCTGAGCGTGCTTAGTATAGTGTCCACTCTCCAGACGGCCTTTGATGGTTCCCAAGTCCATTGGGGTCGAGATCACTAATGGATAATCGGTGAGCCCCAGAGTCTTCCAGTCGACAGGTTCTAAGAACGCGTCTACGTCCTTCTGATTCGACAACCACTGCACCAATTGGTACATTTTACTCAAACCTCCGTCAGCCATGGTGTTCTATTTAATCCACAGATGCGTGAAGGAAAATCAAGTATGGCAT